TCATACAATGCAGTAGACTTATAGAGCAGGGAAGCAAATGAACTCATGCTCTGTGCAGCAACATAGATGAATCCTACAGTGTGGGGTGGCAAAAGCAACAAATAAAAGAATGCAAATATGATTATATTTATAAAAACCTCAAACACAGGATAAAGTATGTTCGTGGATGTATACCTACATAGTAAAAGTGGTCAAAAGGTACAAACTTCCAGCTATGAGACAAATAAGTTCTGGGGATGTAATATGCAGCAAGGTGACTAAAGATAACACTGCTGTATTGTGTATTTGAAAGTTACTAAGAGAGTCGATCTTCAAAATTGATATCTGAGGTAATTGAAAGCTTGATGTTTAGCTATTTTGCTTATATTGTATATTTTGAAGAGGCTGCCAGTAATTTACATCCCTATAATGAATCTTAACTTTTGTTTTCAGGCCAGAGTTACAGCAAATTACTGTTGATGGACTAGAAGTTCTCATTCCAAAAGATCCAGTGCACTTTCTAGAAGAAATACCACACTCTAGGTTTATTGAGTGTCAGTATAAAGAAGCTCGAGCATTCTTTCAGGTTAGAGATAATCAAATGTTATACTTTTTAAATTGCAGGAAATGTGTTTGTTTTTAATATTTCAGGGGGCGAATGAAGGGATTTACGGAAAATAGGTAAGAAAACATCTTTTTTGATTGATCTGCTTTCTTCTAGATTGTTTTGTTTTAATTTTTTTTAAGTAGATTAAACATTAACCTTAAGAAACGATTTGGCATGGTTTGATATTTATGGAGACCTTGTTTTATTTAGATGGACTTCGATAGGTTTAGCATTGGCCCCTGATCTCAGTTAGAGTAGCCCATAAACTTCATAAAAGATGGTATATTCTGTTCTTGAAGCAAATCCAAGTGGGATGAAGCCACGGCAGAAGTTGGACCATGTGAAAAAACCTTAGAAAAGATTTCATGGAAAATACAGTTTTTCTCAGAGGGTTGGCACGGAATATGAATTTTTGTGTGTTTATGAAGGTTTTTGAAGATAAATGCTACACAAAGACCAAGTGCTTTTGAACTTTACTTTATTCTGCTCCTCTAGCTTTCAATTCAATAAACATTTATTGAAAGCCTGTTTCCCAGAAACTCTGCTGGCCCTGGGGATATAAAGATGATTTTGAAGGGCATGAAAGTTCAACTAAGAGATGACATGAAACAGAAATATTGGGAAAACAGTGAAATTTACGGTGGGGTTTCGGTGCCTTCATTCTTCCACTTGCCCTTTATTTTCCGGGGTCCCCTTCTGAGAAAGCTGTAGACACAAGGACAGGAGCAGAATGGGAAAATGGAGTGCCACTATATCATGACTGGTCAAGCGCTCAATACCCACAAATGCAAGCTTTTTCTGGCAGGACCTTGGCCCGCTGGCACATGTGGGGCCTTCCTAACCCCGTTCCCTCCCATCTGCAATTGCGGAGCCGTGACACATACCCAGTCAGCCTCATGCATGAAAAGCTGAAAACCACATGTGTGGACGGGCCTGCTGGTCCAGGAGGCAAGTGCTGCCCATCACGTCCCTACCACATAGAAAGAAGAAGCAGAAGAGATGCAGTGTGGTGCTTGAACTTGACCGCTCACTCTCCCTGCCTGAAGGGGGTTTGCTCCGGCTGCCACTTCTGTCATAACAAT